TTTAAACTAACGCGACCTGACATAGGTGACATTATTTTTCCCCGTGGGACATAAGTAAACCAGACATCTTAGTTTTCTTCGAACAAACAACTACTTACATCAACCTACAGTACTATCAATTCACGGTCGGAAATATCTGACACTAAGACAATGTTTTTAGACACGGTTGTATACACTCAGGGGCACCCAAAGATGGTTTCCTCCTAAACACATTGAAAACACTTTTTAGGCTTTCCAGAGTACTTTTAGATATCCAGAAATGCATTCTAAGCGGCGCTATAAAATTTGTATCTGTTCGGTCGTCCTATTGCTGTATTGCTGATGAGTTTCAGCTTCGAGTAATTTGCTTTGACCGCCCATCTAATGTTACATTGATTACTTTTTTTTATTGTGCCCTGTAATCAACAGGGGAAACCAAGTTCGCATTTACAATAAAAGCTTTATAATTGGTGATTTTATCGGTACTATACTGGCAAACAAAGGTGAAATAAACGATCATTTTGCACGAAACAAACGAGAGTTAATGAAGTTTAAGTGCAATCAAATGATGCATTCTTACAAGTTTTGCACGTTTTATGGGGATCAAAGTCTTAACACTGGGTGAAATGCATAACAAATATTAATAATTAAGCAAGAAAAGAAACTTGACTGTGTTTTTGATCAGACAATTTCTTTGTGATGATCTTCCCGTCAAATTTGTCCAATCCGAAGTCGATACAACCTTTGTGAAAAATACTCATCCTTAATGACACGACGATAAAGTACAGCATTAAAAAAAATTGTACCCAGGTGGCCCAAATGATAACCAGTACTAAATCAGGTTTGAAATCAAAGAAACCAGCAAACCATGCAACTTACCTAATTTTGTTGGTTCTACCTTCTTAGTTGAATTCTTAAGCTCCTGTTCAATCGCGTCCAATTTTCTTTTCATTTCGATGATCATGTTTTCGAGCTTCTTGTTGTGACCCGCGTAGAAGCTGTTGTAGTTGTTGATGTTGCAAGAAGGCATTGTCGAATCTAAGCGATTCTGTTTTTGCGTTGTGGCTGTTTCCATCGTTTGCAGCACCGACAGAAAACAGATAAAGCAAACAAAAATCATTCTGAGCCGGAGTTAAAGCAACCTTCGACTTTCGATTTCAGTCTTCTATACCTCGCGGGTGAAGATAAAGGAGAAATGATAGCCAAAAGACGAGGTATTTGGTATACAAACTTTAAAACTTCCTCTAATGACCCTTAGAAACTGACAACTTGATACCAAAATTACGAAAAGTAGCCTCAGACGTGCCATATTGGTGACTTCTGTCTAGGCTTGTTTTGTTCCCTTCAACCAAAAAAAGGCAAGGTCGTTGACAGAATTGATATGTTGACCTTGCCAAAGAATATTTTTTGCACTCTTACGCTACATAGCTTTCCTCTGCAGATCAAACATTATTGACCAAAGGTGAAATAAACGATCATGTTGCATAAAACAAACGAGAGTTAATGAAGTTTAAGTGCAATCAAATGATGCATTCTTACACGTTTTGCACGTTTTATGGGGATCAAAGTCTTAACACTGGGTGAAATACATAACGAATATTAAGAAGAATTCTAAGCGATTCTGTTTTTGCGTTGTGGCTGTTGTTTCTATCGTTTGCAGCACCGACAGAAAACAGATAAAGCAAACAGAAACCATTCTGAGCCGGAGTTTAGCGTACCACGCGCGGTGAAGATAAAGGAGAAATGATAGCGAAAAGACGAGGTATTTGGTATACAAACTTTAAATCTTCCTCTAATGACCCTTACAAACTGACAACTTGATACCAAAATTACTCAAAATAGCCTCAGACGTGCCATTTTGGTGATTTGTGTCTAGGCTTGTTTTATAATATTATAAACTCTTCTCTTCAACCAACAAAGACAAGGTCGTTGCCAGAATTGATATGTTGACCTTGCCAAAGACTTTTTTTCACTCTTATGCTATATAGCTTTCCTGTGCAGATCAAAGCATCGTTGACCACACGATGAATTTCTCCCGGTATTGAAAGAAAATATCAATCAATAACTAAAGATCAGTGCCCGGTTGTTCAAAAGTTGGATAGCACTGTCCACGGGATAAATCGCTATCCAGCGGATAAGTAGTACGAGAAACCAATTGCGTTATCCACTGGATAGTGACTTTTATCTTGAACGAATGGAGCCAGTTTCAAGTTTCTTGAGTTAATAGAGCCTGCAAAGATCCGCATGAAATAAAACTGAAGTATTTAAGTCGTTCACTGTTGCTGATCAGTAGTTGGAAGACGGAAGTCGGAATTAAAAAAAAAAAAACGTAAATCGGAAATTGGAAATCGGAAATCGGAAGTCAAAATATGGAAGTCGAAAGTCGGAAGACCCTCCTCGCCTTTCGTACTTGTCCAATCCAATCCAATCCATCAGGTTTTTCGGCCGCTTACTTGAAGTTTGAAGTGAAGTTTGAAGTTTGAAGTTTGAGTTTACTTATTAATGGTCATTAATAAATACGTAGCAATTCGAAAACTGAATTGCGTATTTACGTTCAATAAATAAAATTACACAGATTTAGTTATTCTATCTATTTAATTCTACTTGGCCTGGAGTTATAAAAACCGGGTTATAGCAAACATTTTGTAATTCTCTTAACTTTCCCTGTCTAATAGCTTCTTTAATAAGTTGTTTGCTTATGTCTTTTTCTGGTCTTTTTATTGTTGTTGTTGTTGTTCGTTTTGTGGTTAGGGATTTGTGTCGAAGTGGCTGTAGACAAAATTTGGAGAATTTCTATCTAGCCCCCCACCCTCCCCTCCCCGAATTCATTTTTTTTTATTGGGCGGCCCGTGAGGGCAACGCCCAATCATAAAATGGAGGCCGCCTCCTCTGTGCAGCAAAAAGACAATATTACTGACAGAACTCCCAGAAGGCTTTGCGTGTCCCATTCCTCTTCAATGGGACCGATTTCAACGAGAGGGGACAGGTCATTTCGGGTCAGATTTGGAAGTCGATTTGGGACGAACACAAAATTATTGCATGAAGTTATTAAGCCTATATCTACGCCGAATGATTTTGTAAATACGGTATTCGAAATGCGATATTAGCCTGTGCGGGAGCTGCAGAAACAATGCCATCCCACGATGCCCAAGGGAAAAGCTTTAACCCATTGCAATTCTCTCCCTCCGTGTGGATCGAAAGTAAATACAAGAAGGAATATACTATTTGTATATCGTTCCGTTAAACAGAAACCTATTCACGTTGATAGTTAGGAGGTCTTTAAATGCAATATCGGACAGAAAAACTGAAACTTAATTTTCTTTGCGAAATTTAAAGAACAGAAATTACTATTAAAAGGAATTTAAACCACCAAAACTGACACTGTCACATTTTTGTAAGCCTAGACTGAAAATAATTTTTGGAATTTCTGGTTAGATCAGATTAGTCACTGTCATATACTATATAATTGGTGGCAGAGGCATTGGGGAATGGGCAGCCCGTGTGCAGACCCCTCCCACTTCCCCTCAGGAAAAATCTGAGGGAAGCGGGAGGGTCTGCACACAGACTAGTGAAGGGGGAGAGTTGTGCAAATTAATGTCCCAGTTAAAAATAATGCCAATCGCTTCTCGCTTCAAAAGGCTATCTCTTAACCCATTCCACGGCCGCCCAATGAATGGGGGGTCTTGTTTTGTTTTGCTTTGTTTTGTTTTTTTTTTTTTTTTCGATCCTACCCACAATTCTCTATTCAAGTTAAGTGACAGTTATTTGAAATCAGTGCGCGCCTAAAGCTGGCGTCGGTGGGTGGCTCAAACAGTTAACACCCGTGAAAAAGCTAAAAACATGGTGGCTTGAACAGTTAGCACCATAGAAAATAGGGTGGCTCAAACAGTTAACTTCCGTGAAAGAACTAACAATATGGTGGCTTGAACAGTAGCACCATAGAAAATAGGGTCACGTTTTTGTTGCCTGTTTTACCGTACCTTAACCGAGATTTTGTTTCCTTGTTTCATCTAGATAGAAGCTATAAGGTGTAGTCTTGTATTTTATTCCCAAAAAAGGGCTTTTCTTGTCAACTAAACGAGGCAAAGAAGTGGTGAAGTCATGTTTAGTATTGGAAACCCTAAAATTTAACTTCTATAGATTGGAGAGATTGGCACTGGTTGAACAATTTTTGGATAGTAAGGATGGTTAATTCGCTTCATAGTGGGTATGACCTTATTGGGAGTGGATAAGGGGTCCATCTGAATGATGAATATTAGGTTAGGGTTACAGGTACAAGCCGCCTTTTAACTGTGTTTAGACCGTAGCACAAAGCGGTTTTATAAACTCTAGCGTGGCATGAAGTACACTTGCTAAAACTTACGGAACAATTTCTGCTTTTTTCCTTTCAAGGGCAGTTCATCATTCAGCATAAACAATCAGCATGGCTGATTCACATTTGAAGTCGCTGTCTTTTAACTTTACCTGACCTATCTATTCTTGCCCCCAAGCCCCTTCCATTTCATTAATACTTTTTAACAGTTCTTGCATGATGCGAGACTTTCGACGTCGATGAGGATAAGAACTTCACACGATCTACATGTACAGTTACTCTTTATTTTCCCTTTACAAAAAGAAAAGCCCATACGAAATTTTAAAGCTGCAGGGAATGCTTCATTCTTAATGTTGGCTTAAATTTTTTTGGACTTGACGCTTTTCTCCAGGATCATGCTGAAAAGGAAATATAACAGCAAACCAGGTTAGCTATGGACTTCTGAGTCTTGAAAAAATTGCAGTCAGGAATCTACAACAGCACGATTCAGCCCGGCGAGTGCTCGCAATACTCTGTGTGTATAAAAACTGAACTCTTAAGTACCATTAATACAAGCTATTTTTAAAAATTTCTTTAAGCGAAGCCAAAGCCATTGGAACTCAGAGCAGGATCATTCCATAGTGAAAATATTCAATATCCATTGATGACAGAATTACCGCTAACTTGTTCACTTTTATTTTTCACATTGCAATGAACATTTAAATTTCCTTTTTTTATTTTTTCTTTTACCTGCGACAAGTTTCTGTATTGCTTGAACTTGCTCCTGACTCAAAGCTCGGTTGTAGATCCGCATCTGAGCAATTCTGCCTTTGAAGTACCTCCTATCACCAGTCTTCATACCCATTCTGATGCTATCTTGAGTGGCTAGTTCAAGGCCCGCTCCAATGTTTAACGTCTGAACCACAGCTCCATTGACCCACAGTTTGGCTTCGCCAGAAGAACGGTCGTAAGATGCGCCAACAAACTTCCATCCACCTGCGAGACTGGTGTGCAACAAATGGTTGGTAGACGAATAATCTCGTTTTACGAAACGGACAAAAGTTTCCGGCGACAACCCATAAATGAACACCCCAGGTTGAACTTTTCTCGTAGCTGAAGAGCGATCCGTCTTTGCCATTATAGTAAACCCAGCACAGCATAGTCATCGAATATCGCACGTCTAAAGGTCCTCCAACCCTGTTGGAAACTCGATGTAGCTGTTGGAGCTTCCAGAAAATTTATAAGAGTAGTTTGGTCTTCCATCGGGCCCTGGAGCCAGAGTAACCCCACGAGGAATCGCTTTCACTGCTCGGTTGTTAATCTCCTTGGTACCGTGCGCAGCATTGAGGGGGAAGAAGGCGACCGGATCTGGAACTTGATAAAAAAATATATATTTATTATTTTGAAGAAACTGAATTTTGAGAGAGTGGATCAATGAGGAGGGATCGACCATGGGTATCAGTCCACAAATGAAAAATAAGGTTTATGATGAGAGTACAAAAGGATATCTTTGCTACTCCGTGTGTATCTTATGTTATTATACGTGGCCTAATTTTATGCCTGTAGTTATGGATTTACATATTTTTTAATCACCCATTAAAAGAGCTTCATAGCTTATAAACGTGTGTTTACACTCTTAACTCTTACTCCCTTTTCTTAATGATTGAATCCTATGGGGAAATTCAACCAGCTTCGCAAAATATGGCATAAATAAGGCTAGAATGTTTCTCAATAGTTTAGCAATTATGTACATATTTTAAAGAAGTGACGGCATTCAAACTGAGCTGTAACCACCAACCAACCGTTTTTCCGTGTTTCTTCTTTCTTGGATAATTTTTTTTTAGCTCTTGTTCAATCGCTTCCAGTTTTGTTTTCATTTCTATGATTATTTTCTCGAGCCTGGGTCCAGCATGAAAACTATAATAGTTGTTTATGTTGCAAGTAGTTTCCTTTGGAGGTAGGTTATTCGGGCTTTGTGTTGTCACGGATTCTACCGTTTGTAGGAGCCACAGAAAGCAGATGAAGCCAGTGAAAATCATTCTGTATAATGTTTTGTACAGTTACACGTCTCTAAGTCGTGTTTGAAGGAAAAGATTGATGAGATATACAGCTAAGAACTGTCCTTTTATTTGACTGTATCATAAAGTATTCCGCCAATAAAACTGCACGAAGCTTTCACCTTGGCGGTAGAAATGTTTGAAAGGGCTATAACACGTGTCGATGAATGTTCGTGTAAAAGCCTGTTTACCTCTAATCAAAAGCCCCTTCTTTAACTGGATCGATTATGTCATATGCAGTGTAGAGTGACGTATACAAATTCCCTACACAGGGAATACTGAAGGGATGCAATGGAGCATTTTGACAAATTCATGTGGCAAGACCAATTCAATTTCTACCATGCTAGTGACGAAGACATTTAGCTGGAAAAAATTAGAGACATGATGTTTCATAAAGGGCTCCCATTCATGAAATTGGGTGGCGACGAAACGACATCGAGTGAGGTACTCAAGCGGAGCTTCCGTTGCTCGAGGCGAAACACGTTTTACAACATTTGCAACAAAACATGGTTAGCTAATTTAATGAATTCTCAAACGACTCATACAAACAAAACAACCAGAGATACGTTTTAAGATCGGATATGCTTAAGATATAATTCCTTAATTCGTTGTAAGCAGAAACCTTGAGACTCTCTGAACAGAGCATTAACAGCAAAGCGGCCGAAATGTCAGTACGAATCCTTAAAAGACCACGGAAAATAAATTATCTTCTGAATGGGTAATAATAAGAAAATTTCGTTAACTTCAACTCGAAACCGGCGCAATCTCTGTATGTCACTTAAAGGCTTTTATTAGAGTTTGATGTAATTCGTTGCCCAATTTGAAAATTAAGTGTGGCAGGATCAAAAATGATGGCAGTTTTCCTGTCGAAGGCCTCGATGAGTTTTCTGTACGCCTGAGTTAAACCAGAAACAGTGACATAAATGGTGTAGATTAGCAACGTTGGAATTGAAAAAGTATCGATTAACTAAAATTTTTGCGTAATGGAGAAGATATTGTTAACAAAAAAGCTGAAACCAGCGTTGATTACCTTGAAGTTCTCAAGCATGAAAAGGAACTTGTGTTTTGTTCCTGAGACAATTTCTTTGTGATGATCTTAACCTTCCCCCGATCAGTCAAAGTTGTCCGATCCGACGGCGATACAACCTTTGTTAAAAAAAAAACTCAGCATTTGATACGACAAAGTAAAACATTAAAAGAAAAAATATTCCTTATTATTTAAAAGGTGTAGCGACGAAACAAAACGAGGAAGTTGAAATGAAATTATACAGATGTCTCAGTACATATCTTGTCAACATACATCTAAAATGTGCATAAATTTCACATATGATTAATTCGCCTGTCCTGAAAAAAATTATGTTTCAAAATATTAAAAACTTCCACTGACAACGAAAACGGCCGAAAACTTGCCCCTCTTTGAGGTACTGAATTATACGCGATGAAAGACAAAAATTTACATTTTAGTTTTTAAACCGAGTGATACGACTCGATATTGACTGCAAAATATTCATACCTCATTTCTAATGCGACATAGACACTAGGATATTTTCTGTTGATAACCATAATATTAAATGACTACGGCAGAGCCGTCTGAAGGGAAGGGCCGAATTCAATAATTGTGTCACAGGATGGGAATATCTCTTCATGCAACACCGTGCCCATGTTTAGTTCTCCGTCCATCACTCTCTTTTTCGTAAAACTGTCAGTCGGTTGATATGTAAATAATTAAATAAATAAATTTATAAACGAATGAATGAATAAAGGGGAAAAGGCTCATAATTTGCCGCTGCATGGTCTCCTGATTCAAAGCAATTTGTGTGCTTTTTGTACTCTAAAAACGACGCCGTCTAACCAGTCTTTTGCTCGTTTCCTACATGAGACCCGTTCGTCTTCATTGGTACCTTTGGTTTTGGTGAACGGGTTCTAAAATATATTCACGAAGGAATGAAGAAATAATAAAAGTAGACAAGAGAGATGTAAAGAGAGAGACTTGTTAAACAATATGCAGCTTTGATCAAAGACAAAGATAATTTATGGGTAAATAACAAAGCAAATAAAAAAGACCTTTAGCCTGAAGAGACAAGTCAAATGAATAATCCAATCTCTACTTTGAATATACTGTTACGTCGGTTATCACAATTTAATAAGACTTTATTATTTCCTTGTGCCCTTAAAAACTTTTAGATGCAACTAATCACGTTAATTTCGAATGACTAATAAGTTCACAAACCCTATGATTACTTATAAATCATGATACCCAAATGTACTGTACTCTCCTCTTATAAGGCTTTTCAGGGATACTAATTAACAAATAGAACGAAGAATCCCAATATAATGATTACAATGATGATGATGATAGTGATGATGATGAACATTGTTGTCTTTAAGGCCCGAAAGTTGGAAAGTACTACACCACTGGAGCGCTTGTCAGTTGGGATTCAAAGGAAGGCTCCCTTAAGTATGCCCTTAATTATCGCAATGGCCATGTTGGTGTCCCAAACCAGTCCTGTGGGAGTTGAACTCCTTTCTTATGCAAACGCTTTTTTTCAAACACTCTATAGTTCAGTTTAATTGCTATCTCTCTACCAATAACGTAAGTCACGCACTCACATGACGAGGAACGAGGCAAGCATTTTTTATCAGTCGACATCATACCGATGGGGTTAAAATGAATATGATAACCAAATAAGCGAAGTTCAAATAAACAGAAACAACGCCCAGGATATAGCAGTAAGAGGGCGTTCATGCTTTAATTAAGTCCTTTTTTAATTTATATAAATGCTCACTGAAATCTAAGCATAAAACCGATTTGTGGAACGATATTTAACTTCCCTGAAAATGTGCCTCCCCAAGAAAATTTAGAAAAACAATTAACCTGAAACGCACGGATCATGTAATTTTCTACTTTCTCTTCAGTCAAGCGCCAGTTCGTTATTGGAACAAGAAGAGAGCCTAAGCAACAACGAAGGCAACGGCAGCGAAAACGTCACCCAACATAACATAACATAACATAAAACTTTATTTAAACTCGAATTTTAGAGTAGCTAACAAGCTAATATCTTCGAGCTGACACTACATAAAAACTATATAGAAAATATATATATACATTAAATGCAAGGAAAGAAAATATCATTTACAATTCACAATTTTAAGTTTAAGTATGTCAGGCAAAAAGAATCTACATGAAGGTAACATCCTGTATTTTAGTCTTAAAGTCTGCAAAAAAACTGGTACGAAAAAAGTTTGACAGTGCGTTCCACTGCTTAGCTGAAAAGTAAGAAAAGGAGTTAAGACCATAGGTAGTTGTTTTACGTTTACTTAGTGAAAGAATGTAGTTGCCACGAAGATCATAGGAAGAGGACCGGAGTGAAAACATATTCTTCATATAAGTAGGAAAATGAGTGAAAAACAAACTCTTATATAACAGAATGAGGAAATTTTGAATGCGTTTGTTAAACAAAGAAGTAGAGCTGACTTCTGAGAGAAGAGTGTTGTATGGAGACGAGTAATCTCCAAGTATAAATCTAAGTATTCTTTTATTTAAAGCTTCGAGCTTATCCGCATCGCGCGCACCACAAAAGTGCCAGACAGAGGAGCAATAATAAAAGTGAGGTAAAATATACGCTTTGTAAAGTTTGAATAAGATTTCCTTGCGTATGAGTTTTCTAAAGCGCAACATAACATTGAATTCTCGCTGTTTTAAAATTTACGCCCTTATTCCAACTCTTTTAATTTGTCCAATGTTAGCAATTTTTAAGGAGTTGAATTCTGAAGGAGTGTATCTAAGTTTACAAAAAGAAAAAGAAAATCGTTGTCTTGTGTTCACGTGCCCTCCACGTGAAATTAGGAAGTTTCACGTAGTATTCGTGCTGTGATGGCACAGAAATGTACAAAAAGCGTGATGCACGTGCAAAGTTGTTGTTTGTCAATCTAAACCTACCGCTTTTTGCCGTTCCAGTTGCTGTTGACGTTGTTATTACTTAGGGTCCTTAGTAGCATGGCTTATGGCGCTCAAATGTGAAATCACTCTCCTTTAGCCTGCGTGCAGGCGTCTTTTATCTCCTATGTTCCACGCTGGCGAAAAAAAAAAAAACAAGGAGACGTCTACACTTAGATTAACTCTCCTTCAACCTTGAACAAAGTTGACTCTTCAACAGATTTATTATGCTCTCAACGATGATGTATATTTCCCCATTAGGCTCTTTTAATATCGACGACGCTACCAACTTCAACTTCTAGTAAAAAAAAAAAGAGAGTTGAAAGGGGAGTGGGGTCGATAAAAGCTTTCCCTGAGCAAGGAGGCAACGTAGCTGAATATCGCGAATGCAGTCAGCTACCTTTCAACGGATCCCGCACCTTGCAACCGATGTCTATTTCAAAAGTAAGGCAAGGGTGGCATCGTGAAAGCATTGCCTGAGTAACAGGCGTTTCTGGGCAAAGAGCGAAAAGGGGAGAAAGCGACACGTCAACAGATGCGTACTTAGAACCAGAAGGCTTGTTTGACAAAACTCTAACGCAAAACTGACAATTTTGGGCTTAGCTTCCATATCCTTAACTTGCAGTTTTCAGAAAAAAGGCAGTTTAAACTTTGTACTAAATCCGTCTAGAAACCTATTCATGTGCGCTCACTTTAGAGTAATTGCAATATCGAACTACATAGACCTGAAGTCTTTTTCCAGTGCTGTGTCACTGACAAAATCCAGCAGACGGCTACTTTTAAGGGTGTCGGTCCTATGAAAATGAACAGCCTCGTGCCCTGACACTGGGCTTCCACCTATAGCTTAAAAACCAATATTCGTATTAATTCGTATTACTTATAAGCATAAAAGAAAATACAGAGAGTGTTATAATCCTTAAACTTTTCTAGCTAGACAACGTAGAGCTACATATTTTAAATGTTCGTGTTACTTGAGTTTCAATCTCGTTTTATTGCTCTTATCTTGTAAGAGAAGGAAACTGGACCAATGCTCGGCGAGGCTTAAGCGATGGTGCTTTTTGACCTTCCTCGGGCACGAATGTAAACTTGTGCAACATCCAAGACAAAAACATAAACAGCTCCATTTTCGCCAGCGGCTCCCCAGCGCACGTACGTCTTCCTGCACCAAACGGGTAGAAATTTCCTTTGTCTGTAATCCACTGGCCTTGATCGTCAATATGGCGATATGGGTCAAACACCATGGGATTTTCCCAGCATTTTGGGTCGAGATGCACTGACTCTGTGTCAACAAAGACGATCGTACCTTTAGGAACACGATAGCCGCACAGGGAGGTGTCCTTGAGAACACAGTGGGGTAATGCTTATGGTACAATGTTTCCTAGTCGCAATGTCTCCATGATTGTAGCTTGGACGAGGGGCAGGCTCAAGCGATCGTCTAAGCACGGCATCCGATGGCGGCCCACCACTTCATCTAACTGTGCTTGAATATCTCTCTGATAGTGTGGGTACTGCACCAGAAACCCGATTGCCCAGCTTAGAGTGTCTGTGGCGGTTTCATAGCCTGCTGCGAACATGTCATTGATGGTATTAATGAGGTGGTCTTCAGACATTATGGCTGCCATGTCTCCCGAATTTTTGGCTAAGGCTTCATTCCGGGCATGCAACAAAGCTTCCATGAGATCTTCAGGTGTCTTCGTTGAATCAAACATCTTCTCGCTCTCCTTGAAAACCTTTCTTATAACCTCCAAACCATGTAGAATGTAACCAACCACCTTCTCGCACGATTTAAAAGGAAAATACTTTGAGAAAGGAAAGAAACCAAGAAAAACCATGGCTTTGACATCTTCGGTGCTTCTCGCGAACGACTCCACATCAGCTAACAAATCACCAACATTTTTGTCGCCTGTGTCAAATTGCTTACCGAATATTATTCCGCTAATTATGTCTGCGATGCAGGGTGTTATAAACTTAACAGGATCAAAGGCCTCTCCTTTTTCATCCTCGAATAAATTTAGTAACTTCCGAGTGGATTTACTGAGACGTTCTTCAATAAGGGGTATGTTGGAAACGTATTGTCTTATAGCTGAGACAAAAATGCGTCGGTGATACTTCCATGGTAAATTATCATCTCCAAAAATAATATCTTTTCCACCTGCAAGAGAGAAACACACACACGCACACATTTAGAAATAAGGGGTACGCACTTTCGAAATGAACCAGGTTTAACAGCCATAAGGGTGGTTTAGTTTGAAAACCAAACTCATAATTAGTTTCAGCCGAGCCTAATAGCGGAGATCTTGTTAATAATAATAATTTTAGTGCGCGCAGAGTTTAGTGGGTAATCAAATATGATAGTTTTTCGATACAATGAAGTTTGGTCATGTTATCACACCGTATACGTGAGATCCAAACGATCTTTCTCCGCCATCCATGTAAGCCAGTGTGGAATGTCACACTCGCTATCACCCTGTGGTAAACTGAAGTCAGATAAACAACAACGAGGACATTCAATTTAGGCCACCTCCCCGTAGTCTAACCCAGGTAAAATTTAATTCTGTTTACTCATCAATTGAGGCTTTTTGCTTTGTTGTTGTAATCTAACGGTTACTAAAAGACAATTCATTTGTTAAAACTACTTTTCAAATGTAAAGACATGATTTTTATATCTGACCTTTCTTTTACACTAAGCTTAAATTTACCTGGCTGTTTAGATTTCCCAATCAGGTGGTAAATTGGGATCACTGATTTCCGAATTGTTGATAACACAATTCGCAGTTCATGAGTATAACATGCACAGAACGTTTTTGTACCAACTTGGTAGGATGATCTTGACACAAGAAATAACAGATACTTCCTATCTTTTAAAAATGACTTTGGTCGACCTTGAGTAAGGAGTACTCAAAGGGGTTAAAGATCGAAATCCAGTGGCAGTTCGAGACATTCGGAAGTTCAATGTGAAAATTAAAGTCAAGTCCACTTACCAAGAGTCATTTTTCTAAAATAATATGTTTGTGGTCTTCCGCTGTAGTCAGCTGACCTTGTGACCAGAACTTCTTTCACGGCCTCAGGTGTTGCAGCGATAACAAACTTGAAACTTCCAAGTTTAAGAGAGAAAACTCTGCCATATTTTTTTTGGATGCTGTAAGAGTTAAAATTTAAATTCACCGTAAAGAAGTTAGATTAAAACCGTCCCTCGGCTCCCCCTCCCAACCTAACCAATTGCACAAATCAGTTTTGCAATAGGCGATGAAAAAAAGGTCCGCACAAGGCGTCATAAGGCGAATTCTCTTCGCTCTAAATGTCAAAAGAGGCGCATGTGAAGGTGTTAAGAAAATGGGCTTGCATAGGACTTTCTTTAGTGTCTGCGTTAACGAAGATGGACCTTTCAGAGTTGCAGGTGTCAGTCGCCAGGCACAAAAAAGGGGTTATATCTACATATGTAGTAAGGATTCATTTAGATCGACCCCTCCCACATCCGGATATTTTTGAATCCACAACTTTTTCTTTCCGGATACGGCCCCCGTGCACACGTATCTGGTGAAGGCCGGCATACCAATCGGCAACTTTTTTGAATCAGCTCACTAGAGTGGAAATTTTTGAATACGCTATGAATCGTATGGACGCTGAACCTGGTTATTTTTTTAATCCGGGAACGTAACAAGATCGAGCCCAGTTCTTTACTATGAATCTCTTGTGTGAATAATGTGTTCAAGATGGCAACTTCGACTCATGCTCTGTTGCCAACTTTCCCAGAGGAGTCCTGGGTACTAGAGTGTACGTGTCAGACACGTGTGGATGGGCAAATTCGATTTGAATACGGATACATGTGGACGTGGAAATTTCTTAATCCAGAAAGAAAAAGTTGCGGATTCAAAAATATCCAAATACGTGTGGATGGGCCCCTATTAATTTATGTTAACCGTTTGAGATTATTGCCAAAGGCGTCAACATAACCGTTAAATTCGTCAGCATTGCCGTTTCGTTTGGTTACGTAATCTTTTATGTTTTGTTCCGTTGCGTAATCAATATTTACATTCTATACTTATCATGCACGAATGCCCAAATCAAACACGCAAAAAAATGCTTTCCAATCGTCAGAGGCCAAAGGGCCAGACTCTTATCATACCGAACATCGCTTCTTAGAGCTAATTGACGTTAGCAGGCTAAACACATATACAGATAGCTTCAAGGAAATGACTTAGAAAACAGTACCCACTCCAACTACATGTATTGTATTAACTACATGTATTTTTTAAGCGGAAAAAAAGTAGCCACCGGAAATTCGTCTGTGTTCACAGGCGAGTAATATGACGTCAATAAGTTGTATGTTTTTTAAACTGTCAATATCATTTTCCTGATGCCATGATATCAATAGGCTAATAGCGTGTTTTCACATGACTTCACAGCGGCCATATTGGTGTCCCAAAACAATGAAACGGCGGCCATGTTGGTGTCCCAAACCAGTCCTGTGGGAGTTGAACTCCTTTCTTATGCAAACGCTTTCTTTTGTTCCAATAAATTTGCGTAGATGCTTGCCACGTGAGTGAAAACACTCTATAGTTCAGTTTAATTGCTATCTCTCTGCCAATAACGTAAGTCACGCACTCACATGACGAGGAACGAGGCAAGCATTTTTTATCAGTCGACATCATACCGATGTAAACTTTCTTGTCAAACATTACAGCAGTTGCATCTGTTCATGTTTGTATTCGTGTAATAAGGTTCAAGATTTATGAAAAGGAAATTGCTAAAGTTCATTCGACTGGGTTCTTTAGAAATGCTTGAATTTAAATTTATAGTCACATGTTCGATACGGCTTATCAGGGTGATTTTTCCTTTTACTTGATACAACGTTGATCAAGATACATGAAATTTAATGATAGGGAGCAACTTCAAAGTTCACTCACCAGCAACTACAATTCCTTCGCAAAATTCAGATACTGCAAAGGTGATTAGGATGTATATATCTCACCGACAAACTATTCAAGTACACTTCAAATTTTACTAAAAATTTATCAAAATATACTGGAACAGTAATTAGAATCAATTGTACCAGTAGGTGGACAACGGGTAGAACAAAAGTAACATCTAAAGGATCTCCGAGGGAATCCCTGCACTTAGAGTAAATGTCTCAAAACAAACTTGTTAGTGAACGGATTGATAGCAACTATGTCCATGAAAGCCTGATGAAATATTCTGAATACCTTGAGATGGCGCTTGGAAAATCGTCAGCTTTCAGATCAAAACTCAGCAGGTTTCCTATAATTGGAAGGTTTGTAAGCCTCGGCCCGGGTGGCATGTCTCTAAATTGATATAGCTCCCCGGGGGGGCACTTTAGGAATTTCTGGGTGGGGATGTGCCGCTGGGAGCCTGGAACCCTTAACCTTTACCAGAGCAAGTTCAGCTGAATTTTGCTACCCTATACTAGAGTAAACTCCCCAAATTCCCCTATCCTAGAGTAGCTGTGTACCTAGTCTAGATAAAATCTTCAACCAACTGATCAGTTTCCTGAAAAATGATACCCTCTTCTAGAGCCAAACGCTCTGATTTATATACCCTATCCTAGAGTAAACTGCTTGAAAACCATACCCTTCACAGCGGCACATACCTATATAGCCCATATATGGCAGTACCCCCCCGGGTATAGCTCGTAGAGGAAATGCAGAAGGAGTCCAGAGAGTAATGCGATAACTGCATTACCGACAGTTATGTATTGCACAACAAACCCCAACATGATGCGAGTAAAGTTGCGTGCTGAAGTGAATTGATATACTAGTTACTTTTCCTAAAGAACTGTAGCCACGTGGGTAATTCAATGTTACGTAACACGATTGTACACGTCAAAAGACAACAGCCGACACCCATAGCACTAACAATGCAGTTAGTCAAGCCATAATTTTTATTCCTCGGTAAGAAATTTGTAGTTATGTCGGCAAACTGGAATAAGAAATCTTTTGTCTCTTTATAATTCTTTACTGGCTCAAAATTATGTTTAATGTATTATTCTTAAGTCAGTGTAGTTATAGAGAACGTGATATCTTACACGTACTTTCATAAATTTATTCTAACTTTAATAGTCTAATGCTCCATAAAACACGATTACTTAATCTTTTCTTTACAATCACTTAGTAATGGTACGCTTAGTAACTCTTTGTAGTTGCAATATGCTGCACAATTGGATATTATAATTTAAGAAAATATGATTGACAATTGACAACAAAAAAATGACGCGCGAGCATTGCTTTGATTCAGTCAATTGAAATTCGAAATGACACGTTCAGGGGTACCCTGCGTGCAGAGGCCCTTCAGTCTTCCTAGGCCTCTGCTCGCAGGTTAGATCAGGGGGTTCCCT